CACGTTGTGTTCACTGTGAGATCCTGTTTTAATAATTATAATAATAATAATAACTTTATTGACATTATTCATTTTGAGTAGAACATAGTCAAATCTATAACTAAAAAACAATACATCAATACATACACAAACTCAAACAAAACAAGACAAAAAATACTAAATACAGTTCAACAAAATGACTTGGAAAAACCAGGGAATTGATAATTACTGTATCACATTACCATACATTCTTTTATAAAAATGCCAAGCTGTATTAATGTGGAAGTGTTGCCCATAATGTATTTAAATTTTGAATCTTCATCCATCAAATGGAAATTAACAGTTTTATTTTTAATTGAGTCAAACAATTTGCTCCTAATTGTAATATGTTGTGGGCATTTCATAACATAATGGAATTCATCCTCAATTGAATTTGTGTTGCATCTTGTACAGATCCTGTGTTCAACTTTAACCTTTGACCTTATTTGCCTGCCTTTCTCAATATGCAAGAAATCATGAAAACCAAACCTGACTGATGTTATTCCTGGATGTAGAATGTAATTTGTTGTTATATTTTGGGACATGCAGGCCCAGATTTATCACAGTAAAATCTACATGTATTTCATTTCATAAATTCAGTACATTATGTGGTAATTAATGTAGAGTGGTGGTTGTTGTGCCAACACTTATGTTGAAAAAAATTGCTTTTCCCACAATGCAATGCATTTTTCTAATGGAAATAGTGACTGAGTTTTTGGCCTGTGAGTGACATGCTCTGATAACCACCATCACCTCCTTTGATGCCGTTGTATCACCAAAGAATTATCTAATTAAAGCTTGGTAACGTCTCTGTTTCTATGCAACAGTCAGTCGCCATCTTTGTTCATATGAGACCCATATCTTGTGCATGCATGGCGAGACAGCCACCATTCTATAAAATACTGACGACATGAGATTCCCTGGTAATTGAATAGGAAGTTTGGTTGCAATGTAGTCCATGGTGCCTGTATGAGGAAGGAAGGATGTAAGAATTGAATTGATATGATATCTGCATTACCAAAGTGCATTTACTTACATTCTCTGTGGAATGAGTTGTTGAATAACATTTTATAGTAGATACAAATGTTGCCGTGGTGATGTTGTTGTTGCTATGGTGATCAAAAGTGACTTGCACTTCAGACAGTAATTTACGTCCACTCAGACATATCGCAATCTAAACAAGAATTTATTTGACTGTTTCTGTCTGCTTACATGTATGAGCATTTGGGATTTAGAATATTTTATGTAAAATGATTTTATTGCATCCTGCTTTTTATTAATTCAGCATTTGATTTTTTAATCAGTTATTATTTTAATAATTTCTAAACTGAATTTTGAATACCTGTTGGTTATTGTCTCTCATAACATTACGTACCACAGTACAGCCACACATGATATCAAGACGCTCTCTCCCTTCTTCGAGCTTATAGCCTGACCTAAGGAGCCACAGAGAGCCACAAATAGTGGGGGCGTTCCCTGCTGACTACCTAGCTTAGTGATAAAAGACCCATAGTTTCTGCAAAGGAGAATGATCAAGAATTAGCTGAAAAAACTTTTTGGGTGTTTTGTAAGGAATTTATTTTCACTGATTTCTGAGTTTAATGTAAAATATAGAAAAAAAAGGTATAGTTGGTGAATTTTATTTTCACTGAATCATTCCTTCAGCGAAAATAGCGAAAATTAATTCCGAGCGAAAATAATTAAATAAAAGTATTTTACATTGTCATCACATGACTCCAAAAGGAGAAAAAGCATGTTTTTCTAATTTTCTAAACTTTCAAAGAATATATATACCTACAGAACAAAAAACATGCTCAGTTGAAACTCAAGCTGGTTTAGTCAAATGTCTGTTTAATATTGCATATTCCTGTGGACTACAAGTAAATAAACACTGATTCAACCATTCAATCATGGTAGCTTAGCAACCAGGTAACCCGGAACTTGTGTATTGTTTGGTCGAACACAATTATTTACTGGTTTAAAATATTGAATACAAATGATGTCATGTACAATACAATGAGTTAGGTTAAATCAATAAACAGTTGCCATAGCAACAGAAATATATTGATTAATTGCAATTGGTATTGGTTTATAAAAGAAAGGTTAAATGTTTTTAACAGAAATAGACTAAACAGAACATTTTTTTGTATTTAATTCCTTAAAAAAATAGTCTTAATAATTACTAATAATTTCTCGTATCCTGTACCGTATTACATTGAGATTTCCACCATATGCATCTGTGAACAGTTTATTAATTTCACTGTATACTTGGAAGCAGACTTCTGGGCATTCTCACTGCCTGGCAAGCATGAGAGTGAAAATAAATGCCGAAAACTCTCAGAAAATTTAGGATAGTTGTTGAAACTCTTCTGAACAGTGTAACAAGATTACTCTTACATGTGCAACATATATAAATTTTTTTGCTCAGGATTACTTTAAAGTTGAGTTGGTGCTGTTTTCATCGGCTCTTTGGCTGGTGTTTTACAACAAATCCCTCAGATCCCATAGAATCTATGATATAGTGGTGCAGGTCTTAGCAACATAGAACGTTCTGTGATGTAGCTCTGCCCCCCAAAATGTTCTGTGATGTAGCACTGCCCCCCCCCCCCAAAAAAAAAAAAAATTGGTATTTTAAACATAATTTATTTATTGGAATATAATTTCATGCATTTTCATTAAAACTTGTTGTATTCTAATTTTACATATTCATTCGAATATAACTTTGTTGATTTCTCTCACCAATTCAAACAGTAAAAAATTATTTTTTTTATTTACTTTTCTTTTCATTTCTTAAAGATATACATTCCAAGATGTCTGAATCGGGCTCTACCTCGGAATATGACTTTTTAATAAAGTTCTTAGCACTAGGTGACTCTGGTGTTGGCAAAACAAGTCTACTCTACCAGTATACTGATGGCACATTTAATTCAAAGTTTATATCAACAGTTGGTATTGATTTTAGGGAAAAACGTGTGGTGAGTATTAATTTTATGTTTCTGTGAATAGCGCCCTCTAGTCATGTGTGTCGCCCTCTTGAGTCAAAACAAGTCTACTCTACCAGTATGTTCTTTGTTCATTTAATTCAGAGTTTATATCAACAGTTAATATTTATTTTAAGGAAAAATGTGTGGTAGTATTAATGTAATGTTTTAGCAAATAATGCCCCCTTTGTCATGTGTGGTGTCCTCTGGAGTCAAAAGAAGTCTACCATACCAGTATAATGATCGTTCAATTAAAAAATCACAACTCAAATTTCATCTTACAAATCCTTTTTAAATTCCTTGATGAAAGGACACTAGACAACAATTATTCATCATTTTATTTCATTTTGAAATCATTAAGTCACTGCATACCTTTCCCTGAGAATTAGTGTAGTGGTTTATTATCATGAACAGCGCCCTCTATCAGATTATACCAACCTCTAGAGTCAGAATTATGAAATTGTTTGAACTCAACTTCAGCCTGTATTGAGCTCAACCGTAGAACTGCAAATAGTTTGGATTTTTCAGCTTATATTCAGGAATGAGTTCACAGACATACAGCAGATAAAATGAATAGCGCCCTCTATCAGATTATACCACCCTCTAGAGTCAGAATTATGAAATTGTTTGAACTCAACATCAGCCTGTATTGAGCTCAACCGTAGAACTGCAAATAGTTTGGATTTTTCAGCTTATATTCAGGAATGAGTTCACAGACAT